TAGGTTGCAGGCCGTGACCCCCAGCAACCGCACATTAATGTTTCTCTCCCTCTCCCTCTCTCTCTCCCTCCCTTCTCTCTCTAAAAATAAATAAATAAAATCTTTAAAAAAAATCTATCAGCTCTTGAGTCACAGGTACTGTGGCTGAGAATAGGCAGCGACAGCAACATCCCTAAGGGTTAATGTACTATCTTCTCCATAGCCATCACGTCATCATGGTGGGAAGTGGGGATCCTGACTGGACCTTTACACTGGATTCTTGGGAATACATCGATCAAGCTCTGGAGAACTCTCTGCTGCTCCCTGCCCACCAGGAAATGCAGCTGCACCAGACATCTTAATTCTGCAAAATCTGCATACAGTTCATCAGCTTCCTGTGTCCAAAATACAGATACACATCTACTATGGCTTCCATCCCTTCAACCTTCTAAATCACCAACCACCTTACCAGCAAACTGCCAGGACCACAAACAAACAAACAAGAAAAGAAGAAAAATGAAACAAAAGGAAAAAATCCCAAAACTAAAAAAATAAAAATAAAAAAATAAACACACACAAAGAAAATGAAGAGCTCAGTTGGTTGGGCATCATCCTGCATAGTGAAAGGTCACTGGTTTGATTCCTGGTCAGGGCATTTGCCTGGGTTGTGGGTTTGGTCCCTGGATAGTACATATATGAGAGGCGACCAACCAATGTTTCTCTCCCTCTCTTTCTCCCTCCCTTCCCCTTCTCTAAAAATAAATAAATAGCCCTGGCTGGTGGGTCTCTGGATTGAGCTCTGGCCTGTGAACTGAAAGACTGCCGGTTCAATTCCCCATTGGGCACATGTCTGGTGTGCAGGCCAGGCCCCAAGGTGGAAGTGTGAGAGAGGCAACCAATCACCGTTCTCTTATACATCGACGTTTCTCTCCTTCCCTTCCCCTCTCTCTAAAAATAAAATAAAAATAAATAAAATATATTTTGAAGATTTTATTTATTTATTTTTAGAGAGAAGGGAAAGGAGGGAGAGAGAGAGGGAAACATGAATGTGTGGTTGCCTTGAGAGCGCCCTTCACTGGGGACCTGGCCCACAACCCAGGCATGTGCTGTGACTGGGAATTGAAACAGCAACCCCTTGGTTCACAGGCCAGTGCTCAATCCACTGAGCCACACCAGCCAAGACCTAAATAAATAAAATCTTAAAAAAAAAAGAAAACATAGAAAAAAAAATGGAAAAAAAATCACCTGGACCTCAAGGGTTTGAGCCCTAAGAATATACATCAGAATCACCTGAGGACATCTTAAAAAACCAAGTTCCCAAGGGAAGTAGACACTTATCCCATCACTTGACTTCCAACAAAAGCATAAAAGCAATCCAGTGGGGACAGGAAAGCATCTCCAATAAATGTTGCTAGAAAACTGGATATCCATACAAAGGTAAAAAACAAATCTCAACCCCTTACCTCATACCACACACAAACATTAATTCAAGATGGATTCTAGGCCTGAATATAAAAGCTAAAACTATAAAGCTTTCAGAAGAAAACATAAGAGAGTATCTTCACCATTCAATACACACAAAGGTTTCCTAAGACACAGAAAACAATACCCATAAAAGAAAAACAAATTAATTAATTAGAATTATCAACATTTAAAACTTTTACTCATGGAAAGATACCATTAAAAAATCGAATAGGCTGAGTGAGCGTGCTCTCAGAATGCATATCTGACAAAGGGGAAGTATCTAGGATATAAAAAGGATTCTTGAAACTCAGTAATAGAAACAATACAATTTTAAAATAGGCAAAGGATCTGAGGACACTTCACAAAGGAACATGTATGAATGACCCATATGCACATGAAAAAGGGCTCTCCCTCATCCATGCACCAGGGAAATGCAAGCTAGAGCCACAACGAGAGACTTCCGCACTCGCACCAAAATGGCTAAACTTCAAGACTGAAAACGAATGCTGAAGAGGGTGTGGAGTGACCAGAGGGCCATACAGTTTGGGTGGGAGTTTAAAATGGCACAAGAACTCTGGGGAAATGTATGATAGTTTCTCATAAAATTAAACATACACCTTACCTTATGACCCAGTGCATCTGTTCCTATGTATTCCATGAGGAATGGAAACACGTGACCACACACACACAAAGTTGTACAAAAACATTTATGGAAGCTTTATTTGTAATAGCTAGGAAGTAGAAGTAGTTCAGGTGTCCATCAACAGGAGAAAGGCTAAAAAATCCTGGTGTTTCATACAACTGATTATTACTCAGCAGTAAAAAGAGACCATTACTAATGTATACAACAGAAATCCCCAAAACATTGTTAAAAGTTAAGGAAGCCAAGACGCAAGAGAAGATAATCTATTTGACTCCCTTTAGGTGGAGTTTTGGTACAGGCAAATCTATGGCGAAAAAAGTCCGAGGGGAGGTCACCTCTGGGGAGATGGGGGAGGGCCTGGGTGGGAAAGAGCCCAGGGTGATGGTTCGGGTCTCCACAGAGGTTTGGCCTGGATGGGTGCACACATTCACCAAACTCATCGAAGGGTATATTTCATACCTGTGCATTTCACTGTACATGTATATAAGTTTGACCAAAACAACATTTAAAACTCATAAACAAACACATGGTAGGTATGATGAAGAACAGTGATGTTAGTAACTTGCTCTGAAATGCATAAAAAATAAAGATGGGTTGATGGATGAATAGAATGGTGGAAAAACGGATAGACCTGTGATGCAAATAACAGTAAAACATAAACCACAGGATCTTATGGTGGGTGTATTTGTAATGACTGCACAATGTTTTCAATTATCCGGGGAGGTCATAGGAATGCAAAACTAATTGGCCATTTTTATTTCTTACATGGTAAACATATGTGGATGTTTGTTTTACTTTAGTCATATTCTTTTTTTTAAATTTATTTTTTTAAAGATTTTATCTATTGTGCCCTGGCTGGCATAGCTCAGTGGATTGAGCGCGGGCTGTGAACCAAAGTGTTGCAGGTTCGATTCCCAGTCAGGCCACATACCTGGGTTGCAGGCCACGGCCCCCACCAACCACACATTGATGTTTCTCTCTCTCTCTCCCTCCCTTACCTCTCTAAAAATAAATAAATAAAATCTTAAAAAAAAGATTTTATCTATTTTTACAGAGAGGGGAAGGGAGGGAGAATGAGAGAGAGAAACATCAATGTGTGGTTGCCTCTCATGTGCCCCTTACTGGGGACCTGGCCCACAACCCAGGCACGTGCGCTGACTGGGAATCAAACTGGCAACCCTTTGGTTCACAGCCTGCACTCAATCCATTGAGCTACACCAGCCAGGGCTACTTTAGTCATATTCTTGTCATTAACATATTCCAAGTTAAATAAATTAATTAACAAAGAAATAAGTAAAATGTACCAGGTGATTTAGACATCTACTCCCGGTTGAGAACCGCTGGGCTCTAAGAGCCAGGAAGTCTCCAAGTGCAGCTTGGAGTTGAGCTACAGACATTTACCCAGACGGGGCAGAATGAGTTTCCTAAAGCTGCTGTAACAAAATACCACAGACATAATGGCTTAAAACAACAAAAATGTACTATCTTTCAGTTCTGGACATCAGAAGTTGGCTGAGTTAGAATCAAGGTGGGGGCAGGGCTGTGTTCCCTCTGGGGGCTCTGGAAGAGAATTCATTTCCTTGCTTTTCCTAGGGGCCAGCCTCTGTGTTCTTGGGCTCTCGGCCCCTTCTCCCGTCTTCCGAGCCGGCAGCATAACATCTTCAAACCTCTCCCGACTCTGACTTTTCTGCCCCACTCCCATATTTAAAGGACCCTTGCAATCCCATGGAGGCCACCCAGATAATCCAGGATAATTTCCTTTCTTTTAAGGTCATTTTTTTAATTTTAAAGATTTTCTTTATTTATCTTTAGAGGGGGAGGGAGAAAGATAGGGAGAGAAACATCCATGTGTGGTTGCCTCTCGCACATGCCCTATGGGGGGACTTGGCCCACAAACCAGGCATGTGCCCTGACTGGGAGTTGAACCAGCGACTCCTAGCTTCACAGGCCGGCCCTCAATACACTGAGCCACACCAGCCAGAGTCTTCATTCCATTTGCAACCTTAATTCCCCTTGCTATGTAACATACTTTCACAGGATGTGGACATCTTTGAGGAACTGTTACTCTGCTTACCACCAGGCTCTGCCCACCTGTAAGTGGCTCCCCAGGTAAGGAGAAGTACCGTGATTCCTGACACACATGTCATCCAGCCTTGATGAAAACAGAAATGCCAGTCCTTGAAGAGCCATGACACTGCTCTTTGTTCACGTGGCTCCAACCATCTTCAACTACTCTCTACCAGCCCCAGACCACATATCCCCACAACCAGCCCAGACAACTCAAGAGGGGCAAGGGTGACATGTGGTACAGCAAATACTGAACCCCACCTACAATGTCAACTCCAATGGTTGGTGCTAACAAATGGTATGAGCTGGCAGATCCATTATTGACCCCAATGTCCCCATCAAAACCTCTTCTGAAGAGGCAAGACATTCCATGGGGTGAGTGAAGGATGCCCTACAATGCCTGGAGGACTTAGAGGAGTCTGATTCTGGCTCTATATTTGGCCAGCCCAGAGACCCTCAGAAGTCAGCTCCTGAATGTCGTCTGACAGCCCAAAGTCTTGGCCTCTGAATAACTGTAAGAGATGCCATTCATGTAGCTGACATGGGAAGGACTAAGGGAGGAAGAGGCTGGGAAAGAAAATGAGTTCTATTTCGGACTTGTTAGGTTTGAGATACCTAGTAGATAAATATTTGGTTGTACAAGTTCTTGTACAGCATGAGTTGTAACTATTTATAGTCATATTTGTTGTAATAAAATCTTTACCTCAATGTTTTCCTTTTTATGCTGATTTTTCAAGAGACAGAAAAGACTGAATACCCTCAGGACACTGTGCTGCACACTGGTGATTTCACAAAGGGCTTTCATTTCCTCTCCCTCATTCTGTGTCCTCTTCCTGGCCCCCACCAGGAAGATCCTTTATCTGTTCAAACAGGGCAGGTTGCGGGGAGAGCTTTCATTTCTGAGCACTGCGTGTTAGAAGATGCACAGGAGGATGATGGAAAAGAGCACGTTGTTACAACTGGAAATAAACCTCTAGAAACTGCTGGTTTGACTGTTGTACAACTGTGAGGTGCGTGGAACGGCTGGCACACCTGACTTCCACAGTTCAATCTCAGGTTAGTTTTCAAGTCACGTGAGTAGAAGGTCAGATGTCAGGCAATGTTTTATCAGTGGCTTTGAGGGCGGGGGCTGAAAGAGTCAGAGGGGGCTGAGAGGATGGGACTCTGGCGTCACTCTGTGTGTCCAAGGGAAACTCACTGTTATGTATTACATGGCCACTGTCCCATAGCTAAAGCCTCTGAATCGGAAGACTGTCATATAAAAAAATTTGTACCACTTTTTAAGAAAATTTTTATTGATTGATTTGAGAGAGAGAGTGCGCGCGTGAGAGAGAGGAAACATCAATGTGTTGTTCCACTGATTTATGCATTCCTTGGTTGAATCTTATACATGCCCTGACCAGGGATCGAACCTACAACCTTGTGTATCAGGATGACACTCTAACCAACGGAGCTACCCAGCCAAGGCCTCTGCCACTTATCACAAAGTATGAAAACAGCCTTGGCTAGGTCACTCTTACCTGTCTAGTTGAGGACCCAGCCATCTGGAACCCAGTGTCCCTGGTTCAAGGAGTCTCAGTCAGGGACAGTGGCCTTGCTCCCCACTTCTGCATGGATATATCATGGGAGACAATATGCTTCAGTCCCCTGATTTTGCCAGGGGGAAAACAAATGCAGCTTTGGTGCCACCCGTGATGGTCAGTTCAGTGCCTCAATGTGACTAAGGTATAGTACCCAGTTGTTCAATCAAACACTAACCCAGCTGCTGCCAGTGAAGATATCTTACACATGTGATTTAAGAAATCAACTTAATTGAAGAAAAGGAGATTATCCTTGATAATTTGGGTGGGCCTCATTCAATCAGTTGAAACACCTTAAGAATGGAACTGAGGTTTCCAACAGATTGCAGACTTGCAAACCCCCCAATTACAACCAACTTCTTGTGATAAATCAATCTTTCTTTCTTTCTTTTCTTTCTTTCTTTTTCTTTCTTTCTTTCTCTCTCTCTTTCTCCCTCCCCCCCTTTCCTTTCCCTCCCTCCCTCCCTTCCTTCCTTCCTTCCTTTTTCCTTCCTACCTACCTACCTACCTACCTATGCCTAAATCATGAGGCCAGGACCATGGGCTAGGTCCCCATTCCTCTGTCAGGAGAAAGATGATAGCTCCAGGCTCTTGTTCTGACACCAAGTGTCACAAAGCACATTTGAAAGAAAAAGGAGGCCCAAGCAGGCCTCTCACCACGATGCCTGTGCTTCTGGAAAGTTGAGCTGAGCATTTTCTTTGTGAACAAAGAAAGCGTATTTAGCCTCCATTGCCTTATTTTCAGTGAAGAATCTTGTTTCAGAGACTAACGTATAAAGAATTCTAGCAAATTGGCCTTTACTAGGGGTTTTTGTTTTCTTTAGGTTTGGGTAACCAAGGTCACATTAAAGAAAATTTTGCACAAAGTAAACACTTCATCCGTAACCCCACCACCTTAATTAAAACTATTTCCATAGTCACACAGTCACTCCTATCACTTATTTATTGAGACTCGGCCACATGCCAGCCACTGTACGTACATCACTAAACAGAGTATTAAAATCATCCTCATTCTAGTGTATCATTCTGCTTAAAAAGCAGGCTCATAACTGGCTCATAAACATTGGTCATGTTTTCACATTGTCTTCACGATTATAATTTAAAAATACATTATAAAAAATTTTGGAAAATAAGTGGGAAAAAATCCTACCCCAACACATAACCCATTACTTTTTCTATATAGTTCCCTATACACTTTTATACAAGATAGTGATCATATATTCTGCTTTTCCTAACATTATGTCCCAAGCATTTCCCCATGTTATTACCTATTCTGGCGAAACAGCCTTTGCTTATAGAAAGTTTCAGCCTTACTGGCATTTTCCAGGTTCTCCCTGCAGTTGGCGTGTTAAGCATGGCAGGAAAGGTGTCAAAATGATTCTCTGAACTGGAATTGGCTTTAGTGGTTTCTTGTGTTGCGAACAGTCTGGCTCTGTGGGGGCCTCTGCTTTCAGGACTCAGTCCTGCCCATGTGTGAGCCTGGGTTCTCCTCCATGAGGCCCTTTCAGAAGCGACAGTAGGGGTGAGACCAGCTTAGCTTTGAGCTTCTTCCCATTGCACCCTTCACTTGCCTTCCCCCCCCAACCCATTTCTGATGCCACACAGTCCCGGGCTCAAAACTACACCTAGCCACTCAGCACAGTGACCACAAGTGAGTCCCCTCACATCTCTGACCCTCTCTGATTCCTCACTGGGGGATGCAGCACTGTCTTCACAGGGCTGTTGTCCATACGTGAAATGACGTGCTGCAAGTGTGGAGCAGGGGACTGGCTCATAAATGGTGGTTATGTTTGTGCCGAGTGGTCATTCTGCGCCCGAGGCTGGAGCGCCACATCCGAGCCCCTCTGCCTGGGCCTGACCTGCAGACTCCCAACCAAACGAAGAAACTGCGATTGAGTTTGGCTCCTGTGAGCCTGTTTCCCAGACCTCCTAAACTTCTAACTCTTCAAGCCTTGTCCCTTGTTTCAGCTTCCTGACAAGAAGTGGCAATCCGCTTTGTGACCAGCGGCAAGCTCCGAACTATGAAGGTCCCATCACCTTTGCTATCTCGCTCCCTCCCTCTTTGCTTTGGATGCCCCAATATAAGCTCCCACCTACACCAAAGAACTGCTACAGGCTGATGCCTAGCCGGTCCGTGCCCCTGATGCAGCCTGCACTGCGTGCAGTCATGCAGCTCCACTGAGCAAAGTGCCTTCTACACACATGCTTTGCTGTGTAAGAAAGAGATACGATTAAATGAATTACTGAGCTAAATAAATAGGTAAAAATAAAACCTTAAGTGTGGATGGCAATTAACACGACATACAAAGCAACTGCTGGCAAGTTATCACCTTTGATTATCACAAGAGTCCCAGCTAACTAAGAATGGTTTAGTTAGCCTTATTTTTGAAGCTGGGGAATTAAGACACAGAAAAGTGAATTACTGAGGCTTGTTAACTTAGTGGTGGTGCTAAAAACAAGTATACTCTCGCTTCTAATTTAGTGTCTTTCCCATGATTCTATCCTGCTTCCAGAAATGACTAATAGCCCCTTCATTATCTCTCTGGCATATACAGTTTTGAAGACGTTTATTAATGACTCCAAATGAGTTCGCCCTTCCTAGCTGGCTATTAGAAAAAAGGAAGGACTTGAAATTAACGAATGTAATATAGAAGAAGCCTACCTATGGCCACATTGAAGACTGCAGAAGCTAGCTGCCTTGGCCGCTTCAATTTAAAAAGGACGAAAGAGATGGGAGTGAGTTTGAAGGCAGCAAGGGGGGACATAGGGAAGGGGAGAGGACTTTCAGTCCCAATGCCAGACCCATTTCTGTTCGGTTCCCTCAAACCCTGGGCTGCCTTCGGGAACTGCTGCGGGTTCAGGGAAGCTGAACTGTCAAGGTGGCTGGCCCTTCCCCAGTGTTGGCGACAGGCTGCTGAAGCATGAGGAGGAGCAGCTGACTCCTCAGCAAGCTGTCTTGGGGAGGAGGGGTGACATTTTCAAGGTGCTGATTCCTATAGGCTCCCTAAGATATCTCCCTTGTCCTTCTAGAACACAGAGTTGATTAAGCCCTTCCGCCCACCAGGACCCTGGGGCCTGGTCTTCCCCAGCCAGTCTTTGTGAAGACCAGGCCCAAACTCTGGCTGACCTGCCACACTGTTTTACTGATAGTTTACTGCGTTCTCCCAGAGTTCCCCTCACTGGGTGGGCCCCAAGGAGGCAGCCGGGCCCAAGGTACCCCTGGAGTTGGTTTACTCTGGACAAGTCACTCAGCTCTCATCCTGTTAGCTTCTTCACAGGGGTTTTAGTGTCCACATTCCTCCGAGTGTTATTGTGAATATAAGGAGGAGAGGATAATATTAAAGTACCATTTATAGTGAAGTTTTATACACTCATAAAAATGAGTTATTCAGGCGTGACTCAGTTATGAACTTAAAAATAAAAAATAACCCTGGCTGGTGTGGCTCAGTAGATTGAGTGCCAGCCTGTGAACCAGAGGGTCACAGGTCCAATTCCCAGTCAGGGCACATGCCTGGATCGCCGGCCCGGTCCCTAGCATGGGGCATGTAAGAGGCAACCACACATTGATGTTTTTCTCCCTCTTTTTCTTCCTCCCTTCTCCCTCTCTGCAAATAAATAAAATATTTTTAAAAAGATTTAAAAAATAGTTCTTAAGACGACCTCCAATTAGGATTTGAGTAGCCTCAACCAACACTCTTTGCTACGGGTAGGGCCAACAGGCCATTTCAACAATTTTAACAAATAGACAAGATTGGGCTAGAAAAGCCCTACATTTAGAAAGCATTTTGTACTGATTGAATATGTGTGTACATATATAATTTCTTTAAATCATTATGGAAAATTAACTTTAAATATACAATTATAGAGAGATTAGTATGAGCTCCCATGAATCCGTCTATAGATTTAACAATCATCAAACTCCTGGCCAGGCAGGTCCCATCTAAACCTCTGCTTTCCCCCTTGCATATTATTTTGAAGCAAATACTAGAAATATCATTACTTATGTAAATATTTAAGTATATATCTCTAAAACACAGGGACTCCTTTTCGAAAACATAAAACATCTGAAGAAAAATCAAGAACAATTCCTTTGAGCCCTGGTAGGCGTGGTTCCGTGCATTGAGCGCCAGCCTGCAAGCCAAAGGGTTGCTGGTTCAATTCCCAGTCAGGGCACATGCCTGAGTTGCAGACCAGGTCTTCAGTAGGGGACATGCAAGAGGCAACCACACATGGATATTTCTCTGTCTCCCCCTCGCTAAAAATAAATAAAATCTTTAAAAAGAGAATAATTCCTTTTATCATTAAATATCTGATCAGAAATCAAACTTTTCTTTGTATATTTTTTAGGTTTGTCTAAACTGGGATCCAAATATGTTTTTAAGTCTCTTTAAAGATATAGGTTACCCCTCCCCCTCTCTATTACATCCTTGCAATTTATTTTGTAGGAGAAAACCTAAATTATACTTTAAAACACAAAATTATAATGATGCAAGATCATGGCTTGGTTTTTGTTTTTGTTTAAGATTTTCTTTATTTATTTTTGGAGAGTGGGGAAAGGGGGGAGAAAAAGACAGAGAAACATCAATGTGTGGTTGCCTCTCAGGCACCCCTCCCTGGGGAGCTGGCCCCCACCTCAGGCATGTACCCTGACTGGGAACTGAACCAAGGACCCTTTGCTTTGCAGTCTAGCACTCAATCCACTCAGCCACACCCGCCAGGGTGTAGGTTGGTCTTAAAGCAAATTCCAATCAGTAGGAGAGGGCAATCATCCACACTTTCCACCCTTTGTAGTCAAATGCTGATTCACTTACAAGGGAGTAAAATTTAAAAAGACAGCATTGCATTTGTATTATTAAGGTGCACAGGTGTTTCTAAGATAGTATTTTAATTTTATAAACCAGTTTTGAAGCACTCTAGACTCTACAGAGTTGCTCTTTTCACTGGTTTCTAAAGGGCGAAATAAAGCCACGGAGCTCCTTTCCTGCTCCAGAGCAGGACATACTGGTACTGCAAAGGGAAACACCCAGGGCCTGGGGCAGAGAGGCTTCTCCAGGGATAAGAGCACTGAAGTGCATAAAAGACGAACTATTTTTTATTAAGGGGCTCAAGGCTTCAAGAAACATGAGTTTAAAGACACCTGGTTGCTCTGTCTGCAGAGAGTAGAAAACAAACACAATCCTCATTCACCTACACTGTAAAGAAGGATTTGAGGGGCGCCTCCTATCTCCGTCATTGCTGTGATTTCCCATTATCTGTTGTGGGGTGGGGCAAGCAGAGTTTCTGCCCTCAAACAGCTTTGGCTGAAGTACTGGAGTCCCAGGGGATTAGCCTGCTTGGTGGAGAGGGAAGCCCTCCCCCCACCCTTTGAGTCTTGCTAATGTATACCTTGCCTGGAGAGAGGGTGGTTCCGGGACAGCAGCAGAGCAGCTGGGCTGGGCGGTAGGTCAGAGGTCTGGACGACACCAGGGACGCCTGGCCCTGGGAAAGGGGCCAGGCCGGGTTATTTTTCAGACCATTATGGGCCTCAATATACATTCCTTTCTCCTGTCCAAGCTGGAAATTCCATTGCGCTGAGCATCTGTGTATGAGCACGGGTGTGGGATGAAGGCACGTAGGGAGAAGCTGGAAGGACCCACATTTGTGGCTTTCCCTGCCCTGAGATTCCAGTCCTCAGCCTGGGTCTTTGGCCTGGAACACTGGGTGCAGAGGAGAGAAGGGGCCTCCAGTCCCCTCTTGGCCCATCGCAGCACCCGCCACCTTTGGAAGGACACTGTCAGCACGACATTAAGTGAAAAATTATGCAACAACAACAAACCTTGATTAAAGGCTTATGGCCAGAGCCAGGCACTTTCTACACAGTTTCACTGATTTCTCACTGCAGTCCCCTGGGTAGGTGGGAAAGAACAGGAGGAAAGCGAAGAGAGGGAGCTTAGTGAGGTTAAGAAACTTTTTTTTTCTTTTTATTGTTGTTCAATTCTAGCAGCCCCAACTTTCCCCCTGTTGCTCTCCCCCCCCACCAGTCAGAGGTTAAACTGGCTCAAAACAAAGCTAAGCCGAGCACGACTCGGCCAGTGATGTTCAACCTCGGTCATCTCGTGGCCCACACAAACTAATCACTGAAACTCTGTGGCACATCAAAAAATATATTTTTTGCCAACCTGACCAAAAAAAAAAAAAAAAGGTATGCTTTTCATATATTTACACGAGATGGCTACTGTCATTTTTTTTTAGTTTCGCAATCTAAGGGAAAAGAGGTCATTGCCCTTGGCTAAGTAGTCAGGTATTGCATGCTTTAAAAATTCTTGCAGCACACTGGTTGAAAACTGTTGCTCTAGGCAAATCGCTTGGCCTATAGGAGCTTCAGTTTTCTCTTCTGCAAAGGGGAAATAATAGCACACCCTCCTGGAGAAGTTAATTCAAAGAACAGATGAGCTAATGCACAGAAGGGCAGGTGATGGTGCACTACCTAAAAACAAGCTAAGAAGGTTAGAAAGCTAGTTGCTCAGCATAGACCCAGATGTTTTCCTGATAATAAAGCGCAATTTCTTTGATGAAATTCTTCTAGTCTATAAACTAGCTTATTTCATGCTAACAATCTTGTCTCTTCTCATCTATCTCATCCTGACTGACAAAAGTAAACGAGGCCTCTAAACAGTTCTGATTTCCCAAATTAGCCTGTGTGTGAAGGGGGCTACACACTGCTGGAAGGGCTGCCTGTTTTCAGGGGCAGGACAAGTTTTACTCTCTGTTGTCACCAGCACCTTTTAGCCGTGTCCTCAGCTCTAATTAGTCTCCCTGACAAACACCTGTTTGACAGACACACTCCCACCCCCAATTCCTGCTTGTATTCTTAATGTTCAAACTTCACTCATTCATTTAATTCTACACTCAAAACAATTCTTTTCCATTCATTCTGTGAATTTCCAGGCTGCCCACATTCTGGGAATATAGGACAGACTCGGTCCTGCCCTCACGGAACTCATGTGGTTTCACTGGGCAACAGCAAACCCACGCAAACAAATGAAGTAAAAAACACTGTGATCGGTACCAGGAGGGAATCCAAGACCAATGCAGAGAGAGAATGGTCAGGAAAGGCCTCTCCACGGTGGAAGACAAAAGGCTAGTAAGAGCCAACCCCACAGTGGGGCTGGAGACAGACCAGGCAGAGGGTACAGCCTGCACAAAGGAGTGGGGGTGTGCCTGGCAAGGCTGCTTAGAGCAGGCCGACGGGGTGAAGCTCAGAGTGTAAGCAGGGGTGACCAGGGGCCAGACCATGCAGGGCTTTGTGGACGGCTGTGAGGAGGTTGAGACTAAAGACTGTAATGACAAGCCATGGGAGCTTTTTATAAAAAATCGTGGTAAAATTCACTGTTGTCAAGTGTATTCCTGTTCCTCCACCAACCTTGCCCCCAGGCTCTGGCAACCATTAATTTGCCTTCTCTATAGATTTGCCTATTCTGAAACATTTCATGTAAATGAAATCATACACTATATAGCCTTTGGTGACTGGCTTCCTTTGCTTACTGTAATGTTTTCTAGGTACATCATGTTGTAGCATTTATTAGTATACCATCACAAGCTTTTTAAAGGGCATGTGGGAAGCAATCTGATTTACCTTTTAGGATCACTTTCACTGCTATGGAGAGAATGCACGGGAGAAGCCAGAGTGTTAAGTGGGTACATGCATTAGGGGCTGTTGTGATGGGGTGGGGGGCGATGACGGAGACCTGGAACGGTGGCTGCAGGGGCAAAGGAAAGAGGGGGTGTGTTGGAATTGTTCTATAGGTAATGTCGACAGGACTGGCTGGCTGATGCATGGGCGGTGAGGGAAGTGTGGGGCCAAGTCCCCAGGAAGTCCAGGGCAGGGGAAACAGGTGTGAGGGAGATCAAGAATTTATTTGGGTATGTTAAGGGTGAGAGAGCTAATTGGAGATGTTAATTAGGTGGTGGAAATTCGAATGTGGGAATTAGTGGGCAAGTCAGAGCTG